AACATTAAATTTAGAAATTAGATGAGGGCCGGCCCGGTGGCGCACTCGGTAGAGTGCGGCGCTTGGTAGTGCGGCGGCGCTCCCGCCGAGGGTTCAGATCCCATATAGAGACCGGTCCGCTCACTGGTTGAGCGCGGTGCGGACGCGACACCGAGGGTTGCGTTCCCATTACCAGTCACGAAAAAAGACAAAAAGAAAAAAAAAAAAAAAAAGAAAGAAAGAAATTAGATGAAGTTAGTAGGCTTTATACCAGGTATATAGAGAGCTATATTTTTGTATATACATAGCTATATTTACCAGCTATTTGACCTTGAATAAATGTTACTCACTCTGATCCACAGTTTCTTTATTTGTCATGGAGGAATAATCATCTTTGCCCAGTTTACTTCAGGGCTATTGTGAAAATTGAATAGATAAGAGATATGAAAGTGTCCTGTGAACTCTTTAGCCCTTATTCAGAGGTATATGTTTGGCAGGGTGACAAAGAATCAGGAAGAAGGAATATCAGCTCTAGGAGAGTGTTCAGGCTACGTCTGCTCTTATTTTAGTGTCTGTCTCCTCTCTCTCTCTCTCTCTCTATTATTAGGTATATGTTTGGCAGGGTGACAAAGAATCAGGAAGAAGGAATATCAGCTCTAGGAGAGTGATCAGGCTACGTCTGCTCTTATTTTAGTGTCTGTCTCCTCTCTCTCTCTCTCTATTATTTATTTTTTTTATTTTTATCATCTTCCTCCTCTGGACTTCACTAGCATTTAGGTTATACCAATAGCCTTACACGATGTTACAACTTGAAAGTTCCCTGAGGGTGGGCTCTGTGTCTCATGCATTTGTGTGTGCTCCACAGCCCTAGCATATAGTCCGTGCTTAATAATGAATGATTTGAACAATTTATTAAACTGTCAGGAAAATGGATGATAGCTGTTGTCATCCCAGGGAGCCCTGCGGGGTGGAGAACAGTGTCACGAGCTCCCCAGTTCAAGACTGCTTCTTCTCACCCACTCCCTTCCCTGGTCCTCATTTTCATGCTATTAAGTTAGCATTTTATATACCATGTTTTTGCAATAAACATCCTCATTCTTGGTGAAATAAATGCATACATAAATAATTCCATTTGCAGCTATCTATGTGTGTTTGGGGAAGAGACAAACCCCTGGAAGCTCCCAGCAGAGGCTCCACCACAGCGGGGAGAGCCCTGCGAGCAGGCAGCAGTGAGGTGGCCAGCATGTCCTGTGTGGACTACAGCTGTTCTCACTCTTTGGGGGCCCTTTTGCTCTCTATTTCTGTGTGATTCATTCATCCATCCATGTATCCATTGAAAATGTACTGAGCACTGATATCTGCCAAACACTGGGGACAAACTGGTGAACAAAGCAGGCACACCCCTACCTTCACGGGGTTTACAGTTTCCCACGGAAGACTGCAGGAGAAAATCAGTAGCCAATCCAACCAGCTTAAACCCAGTGCTAAAGGAAGGGAAATAAGCACAAACTTGAATAACTGTGCATGAGGCCCCTTAATAATGCTGCCTCCTTAGTGCCCCCTGCTGCCTTCATCTCACCCCGGAGCCTGCTCCAACCACCACAAGCACAAGGCAGCAGTTGGCCTGACACATGCCCCAGGAGCATCTTCCTGGCACATCTGAGCTGGAGACTCCCTGGCTCCAGGCTCCAGAAAGGAAATAGAGATGGAATGTAGTCTAACTGAGAAACTGGAGTGGACAGTGTTTCCTCTGAGGGAAAGGGATCACCACGTCCAGGAGAATTCCAGGAGGTGGGGACTGCAGGGAGTGGGGACTCTGGCGCCAAGAAGGTGCTGATAGGCAGGAAGGTGAAAAGGGCAGGCTGAAGCTGACCAGATGTTTATTGCTGTTCACAGAGGTGGGAGTTTCCTGTTTCTTCCAGTGAGCCTTTTTCTCCACTTTGAGAAGAATAACCCTGTTTCATTAAAGGACACAGTTTCATAAAATTGGCCATTAAAAACTCAAGGGTGTGCATGAGTTTTCCTTCACTGAAGGCCTTTATTTAATGGAAATATAGGAAATAAGCTCATTTCCTAGAGCGTTGCTTCATGGAAGAAGTGACTGGAGTCTTTCGTGTCTTCTGGGCAACTGCTGGGCACTTAGGTGGACTTGGCGTATGCAAGATGGTGGAAAACCTCAGAACCAGGAGACTCAGTTTTCTTTCTGGTTCTGTCATTCGTTGGCTGTGTGACCCTGGACAAGTGTCTCTCCTTCCCTGGGCCCTAGTCTTCTCACCTAAGGGCCCTCGTGGCTCTAGGTCTCTGTGAAGACTTCCCCGTGATTCCATTTGAGAGGGAGATGCTGAGAGCAGGCAGGAGGCAGGGCTCTCGCAGCTGAGCAGCAGGGGAGGTGTCGATGGGGGTCAGCGAAGGAAGGCGGAATGTGGGAATTTGATCAGTCCTTGCTTATCATCTCAGACTCCGGGGGAAGAAACGACTGTGAACCAAAGTGATTGTGGAAAACTCAACACACCAAACGGCCACATATGCTCTCCCTAAGCATGTACGTTGCATCTGCTGGGAACCATGAAGAATGCTGCAAAGCACGGTGGTAGCTTTGGCCTGGAGCAAGATCATCTCAGACTCCGGGGGAAGAAACGACTGTGAACCAAAGTGATTGTGGAAAACTCAACAAACCAAACGGCCACATTTGCTCTCCCTAAGCATGTACGTTGCATCTGCTGGGAACCATGAAGAATGCTGCAAAGCACGGTGGTAGCTTTGGCCTGGAGCAAGTGAAAATGCCAGGGATTGTTCAACTTTTCACCCCTGACCAGCACCCACACCGCTCAACAGTGACTGCTGCTGCCACTGACTGGCCTGCTGCTTAGCGGAGATGGAGAAAAAGAGACGAATAGAGGATAGACAAAAAAGAGATGCATTAACAGGCAGTGGGAACCTGCTGGAAAGGCCACAGGAATTATAGATTGTGTGATCCTGGATTATAGGAAGCAGTGCTGTATTTTGGAAAGCAAATCAAATCAAAGGAAGTCAGGAGACCTGATTTTTAGCATTATGTTCTTCCTGTACAAGCAGAGTAGTACTGAGCAAGTTGCAAGGAATAAACCAGAGGCAGTAAGATTACTTATGTTTCTCTTTATCGGAAAGTCTTCTTCTCCATGGAACTAGTGGCACAGGAATGATCTTAGTCTTTTCAACAGAAAGAAAACATTCCTGAGAGTAAAGCCAAACAAATCTGAACCTAGTTCTTGCTGACTATATGATGTGTCTTTTAAAAAATCATTTTGGTGATGTTTATTATCTGATTCAGGAACTGTGAATAGCACACTTCAGTCAGCTGTAAACAGACACCCATTCGAAGATGAGAAGTTCAGTTTTAACTTTAAAATCAATCAAATAAGAATAGAATCTTTAGAGCAAAGTGTTTTCCCAGAATTGAGGTGAGGCTGCCAGCGCACACCTGAAATACTTACTTCACAAATATTGGAGATGTTATTGGTATTCAACAATTGCTCAAATGCAAACATTATTTTAAGTTACTGATGAGATTATCACACACCGATTTACATGAACCTCCTACAGTTCTTGGTATACTTGGTGTTTTTTCTATTTAAAAAAATTTTTCCCCTCTGTGTTTGTTAAAGTAAAGAGGAATTATTAACTTATAGTCCAGACAGCCCATGAATTTGGGTGTGAAAAAAATTATGTCTCTATTTTCACCACCTATTAACTAAATTTAACATTTCATTCCATTATGGATGTAGCCATAAACCCAAAGTTGTGCTAGCAATACCTATGATTTGGTCTCTTCCTATAGAAATGACAGATATTTTATATTATGTTACAATTGTTGCAGATATCATGAAATATCACTTACACTCAAAATTACTTTGTTTTTTTTTTTTTCCTTTTTGTCTTTTTTCGTGACTGGCAACGGATCGCAACCCTCAGTGTCGCGTCCGTACCGGACCGGGACCGGCAACGGGATCGCAACCCTCGGTGTTGCTCCCGTACCTCGCTCAGCCAGTGAGCGGCCGGTCCGTATGTGAGATCTGAACCCTCGGCGGGAGCGCCGCCACACCTCCCAAGCAGCGCACTGTAGCAGTGCGCCACCGGGCCGGCCCCAAAATTACTTTGATATTAGACCCTCGGTTAGATCTTGTTTTTAATGTTAATAAAAAAGCACGTTTCAAATTTTTTAATATTTTGATAATTGTATTTCAATATTACGTGTTTCCTTTGTAATCCTATATATGAGTATTTTACACATTTAAAAACATCTTCCTGAGAAGCGTTCCACAGGTTTCACCAGTGAGGTTCGGGGCGTGTGTGCACGCCCAGACTATGCAGGCATGCACACGCACACACATGCAGAATAAGATCTGGTCTAGAGGCTGATGTTCACGTTGGTGCCTGAGATGCAAGACTGGAATTAGGACATTCTCCCAAAGATACACCACACTTGTTTTAAATCTAGGGACGAGGGTGGAATTCTGCTTTCAACTGCTTCTGTAGGTGTGCTGCTCTCTGAAGCCTGGTGGGACGCTGTCCCTGGATTCTGGCTGGCTATTATTTGTCTCTGTCTCTGCTATAGGAACAGGATGGTGTCTTAGGTATATCTGTATCTCCAGTTCCTAGCACAGTGTCTGGCACGGAGCAGGTTCTCAATGAAGTTTGCAGAGTGAATGAAAATATAAACTACAAATATACCCTTGTTGAAGTCAGCACACAAATAGTCCTGTAGGATGTGGTGGGCATGTGCGAGTATGTGCGCAAAACAGGGTGGGGACATGGGGACTGTTATGGGGTAGGAGGTGCATAAAATGGGACTTTTTTTTTTTTAAAGAAACTCAAGACAGACTTTCAGAAGGTTGTTTTCTAAGAATCTTGCTGGCAGTGTGAAAGTAACCCCCTGTGCACCGCCACACCCGGCCTCACGTGGCCACCTCTTTCTCCCCCCATGCAGGGCTGGCTCCCCAGTATATATAAACCTCTCTGGAGCTCGGGCATGAGCCAGCAGGGCCACCCATCCAGACACTTCACAGCGTAGCAGAGCTTTCCAGAGGAAGCCTCGCCCAGCCTCTGCACTGAGGCACTTCTGTGCACACTGCTGCAGCTGCGGGCCTGAGATGCCAGCTGTCCAGCTGCTGCTTCTGGCCTGCCTGGCATGGGGCATGGGGGCCAGGACAGCCCAGCTTCGGAAGACCAACGACCCAAGTGGCCGATGCCAATACATCTTCAGTGTGGCCAGCCCCAATGAATCCAGCTGCCCCGAGCAGGGCCAGGCCATGTCAGCCATCCGGGACCTACAGAGAGACAGCAGCACCCAGCGCACAGACCTGGAGTCTGCCAAAGCCCGGCTCAGCTCCCTAGAGAGCCTCATCCACCGGCTGACTTTGAGCCAGGCTGCTGGGCCCCAGGAAACCCAGGAGGGTCTACAGAGGGAGCTGGGCACCCTGAGGAGGGAGCGGGACCAGCTGGAAACCCAAACCAGGGAGATGGAGACAGCCTACAGCAACCTCCTCCGAGACAAGTCAGCTCTGGAGGAACAGAAGAGGCAACTGAGGCAAGAGAATGAGGATCTGGCCAGGAGGTTGGAAAGTAGCACCCAGGAGGTAGCAAGGCTGAGAAGGGGCCAGTGTCCCCAGACCCGGGACACCTCTCAAGACATGCCACCAGTCTCCAGGGAAGGTAAGAATGTGGGGTAGAGAGGCCGCGAGTCCAGCAGGTGAAATGGTCCGTGGCCCAGGCCTCTCCTCCTTTCCCGGCCTTTCTCCCAGAGGTCACATCTAACTCACGGCATGAATTAAGGAAGGCAAAGCAATCACTTCCATGTGTACTGGCAATTCAGCTTCTGGGAGCTTTGCTCAGGTTAGTGGTTTTGAGTTCTCGTGCCTCTTCATGGCAGGGTTTTCACAGTCCACAGCAGAATGAGATCGATGAGGACCAGGTGAGATGTACATGTCTATGAGCGGGAGAAAGATGCCAACTGTCCTTTTCCGAAAACTGTGCCTTTTCTGAATCTTTGTTCAGAGATGATTATTTCTACGTTTTTGTGTGAAAATGACCTCTGTTTACAAAGTGACAATAGAATTACGAAGTGATAAAGGCAACTGTCCTTTTCCGAAAACTGTGCCTTTTCTGAATCTTTGTTCAGAGATGATTATTTCTATGTTTTTGTGTGAAAATGACCTCTGTTTACAAAGTGACAATAGAATTACGAAGTGATAAAGTGGTAAGTTTTTTTTGGTTTTGTTTGTTTTTAATGTCCTCCGTTGGCAAAATTAGGTGGTGACAACCCTTTGTCGGTTCCCTCTATATGTTGTTTTGGAAGTTTTCCTACTTTTTGCCCAATCCGAGAACCTCTGCTGGGAAGTCATCAGACTTGAGGTGTTTTTTTCCAGCTGGGAAGCTCTTCTGTTCATACCGGTCCCTGGTCCCCGCTTGCTTAAAGGTGAATCTGTGAGTGTGTTTGGGGTGGGGGACACTCTTCTCATTAGCTGGGAAGACAGCATTTGTGTCACTTCTTGTTAAAGTTGTGCTCCAACTATTCACTGTGTAATACATTTTCTGATTATCAAGAAACGAGCAAGCAAATCCAGTTATGGGACAATTCATCCAGGCTCTTTAAAGGTGTCAATATAAAGAAAGAAAAAAGTGGTGTGGTATGTGCTTGTTCTAGATTTAAAGACTAAAGAGACTTGACAGCCAAATAAAGTGCAGGATCCTTAATCGGTTCCTGCATCCAGGGAAAAAAACCTGTGAGGAACAAGTTCGGGATCATCGAGAAAATTTGAATATAGACTGCATATTAGACCATGTGGTTGTATTAATGTTCTTTTTCTTGGGTTATGGGGGAGGATGTCTGTGCTGCAGTGCTTGGGGTGAGGCATCAGAATATCTGCAATCTGCTTTCAAACAGTTGGGCAAAGACTGTAAATACCTAAAGAACGAGCAGAAGAAAGGTAAAACAAATGTGGCAAAATATTAACAATTGGGGAATGAATCTATGTGAATGGTACATGGGGAGTTTATTGTAATTTCAATTTTTCTATAGGTTTGAAAATCTTCAAAATAAAATGACGGGAAAATATTTTCTAAAAAGGCAAGATCTGCATAGGTGTGAGGCTAGAAAACCTGAGCCAGTGCCTGGGTGTGACCTTGGGCAAATTATTTAACCCTCCGCACCCTCGTTTCTTATCCATAGCATGACAAAGAAACTTCCTGCTGTAAGTAATCATTTTTGTGGGGTTCAAATAAAATAACTGTACAATACAAAGGGTTTTTTTAAATTCCTAGATCGTAAGAATTTTTTTTTTTTTTGTCCTTTTTGAGACCTGCTGCACCACGCTCAGCCAGTGAGCGCACCCGCACCGGCCATCCCTATATAGGATCCGAACCCGCGGCCATCCCTATATAGGATCCGAACCCGCGGCGGGAGCGCTGCTGCACTCCCAGGGCCGCACTCTCCCGAGCGCGCCACGGGCTCGGCCCTAGATTGGAAGAATTTAAAGAGATCCAATTCCGAACTTTACAACTACCAAGAGTGAGTTTGTAAGAGCTGAGGGGCCCGAGGTTGCACAGCTGGTCAGTGGTAGACTTGATACTTGAACCTGAGTCTGTGAAAACAAATGAAACAATCGTTACTACTACAGATTGTTAAGGAAGTTACATTCTCAACGAAAACTCACATGCACGCGTGCGCATGCGTGCGCTGGTGTGTGTGTGTGTGTGTGTGTGTGTGTGTACACAAAAATAGAGGCAACGTTTTGTCTTTTTTTTTTTTTCTTGGGTGACAGGCCAGTATGGGTATCTGACCCCTTGACCTTGCTGTTATCAGCACCACACTCTCCAAAGTGAGCTAAATTTTGTCTTTTTCTTGTTTCGTGGTCATTTAACAAGTCTTTGGGAATTTATTAGACGTGTTCTCTAATTTTACATTTCTTTTTGTCTTTTCCAGCTGCTCTATTGTGGAAATAAGAGCAACATCCCATTATAATGAACTCCAAACTTGGAAGTTCTTTTCTAGTAGAGGATCATTTTCATGAGCAGGAAATTACTTTAGTACAAGAATGTAGAACTGGAAAGGGACTTAGCAAGCATCCGGTGCCACTGGCTCATTTTTGCAGATGTAGAAACTGAGGCTGAGAGAGGTTACTCAACTAGTTCGTGGCCACCTAACCAGTTAGTGGCAGAGCCCGGGCTAGAATTCCGGTCTCTCCCCCTGAGGTTCAGTGACTTTTAGGACTGCCAGCTGACCCCTAGTTTATAGACCCTAAAGACACAGGACAAAAAGGGACAGAAATTCTTGGAACAAGAGGTCTGCTTCAAGGTCCTAGACATGGGGGGAGGGGCATTTGGGGAGCTGGAATTAAGCGTGGATGTGCTTTTGTGCAGGAATGGCAAGAACCGAGGTGTGGAGGGTTGGGGAGTGAGGCTTAGAGAGGCGCAGTGCACTCAGGTGAGGTGAGCTTCTTCTCATCCCACCTGTAGTCCAAATTGTCATTGCCATTTTCTTTATCGTGTACTTGTTACAAAGGAAAAAAATCCCCTTAGAATCATGGAAATCCCTTGTTTCTACAAACATCTAGTATGATAGGCAACATTTTACTACATGCTATGACCACAAAGTTCTATACACACACACACACACAAGGCTACTTCCAAAAGTTCACGGAAAAATGGAATTAAAAGATAATATAAATTTTTCCATGAACTTTTTGAAGACTCCTTGTATATTTTTTCTCCTATTTTTTACATAAAAGTAAGCCCAGAGTAGGAGAAAAAAAATGCAATTTACCAAAATACAAACTAGAGTTGGTTATTACTGTCACAAGAAAAGCCCCACTTTCTCCTTTAACCTCTGCTTTGGAAGGGCCGTGATCCCAGGGAAGGGAAGGGGGCCAGGGGAGAGTGGGGTGGGGAAAGAAGGAAGCCAACAATGGGTCCTTCTCAAGCTGGTCACCACCGTGGGCAATGGAGGCTCTGTCCCTCCAAGACCTTCAGCGGGGCTGTGTAGAATTCGACAGAAGAGCATTTATCCATGGGTCTGATACCCTGTTGTCCAAGGGCTTTCTCCTGAGGTATGTCACACTTCCATGGTACACAGATGGGTGCACCAGGCTGGTTCTTGCAGACTTCCTATGCAGAGGATCAGAGAAGTAGGGGCAAGGTCCTGGCAGGTGACACCCGTGAAAGGCAGGTTGCCACAGCAATGGCTGGAAAAAGGCAGGCAGTATGTGCACGGGAGCAGGGGCGGGAGTTGGGGGCCAGAGGTGTTCAACACATGTGCTGCAGACTTCCTTTCCTCACCTACGGGATGGGGATAATAACCCCTCTGGGAGTCATTATGCAGATTAGAAGTAACATGGGGAAGCATCCAGCATAGTTCCTGGCACAGAGTGGCCACCCAGTAAATGAACTATAACGACAAAGGACTGCTTTTGCTTGAGTTCCACTACTGTTTCTAATGTCATTCAGTGATCAAAATGTCAACATGTATGTAACGTTTCTGTAGCACACATAGATTGTAGAGACCATACGTGTTGGGACAGCACACAGGACAACAGTCTACTAGCTAATCTTCATTTTCCTAATGTATTTGTGACAACCTGTAAATATATTGGCACCTTCTTTTTTTTCATTCTTCATTTATGTAATATCGACTTTACGTAATATTGACTGAACTTTTCGAGCAGTGACAGAAATAGCTACAAAAATCATTGCAATGACATTTGCCTATCTACACATGCATACATATAAAAGCAAATTAGTTAAATTCAGTTTCCAGGCTAAGCTCTCTAGAATGTGAGTCTATAAAGCAGAGGTAAGGGCAGAGCATGCAGAAAAATTCCAGAATTTTCTAAAAGACATGCACCCTTAACCCACAGAACGACCGACTTTTAATATTAAAAAAAAATAAATAGAAACCCTAAAAATGTTAACCGTCTGACACAATATGAGAGACCTTCAAAAAGTTCATGGAAGGATTTGTATTATGTTTTGTTTTTGGTGGCTGGCTGGACGGAGATCTGAACCCGTGACCTTGGTATAAGGCTGCGCTCTAACCTACTGAGCCAACTGGCCAGCCTGTATTATGTTTTAACTCAATTTTTCCACAAACGTTTGGAGTACACTCATATAGTTCTTAATATTTTCATAATCTCTTTGTTTTCCTCCCACATCGAGAATGAATTGTTAGTGATTTTGAAACATTCCAGAGAAATTTTAGTTTTGACTCATCTTTATTGAGGACCATTTCATTTATAGTTTCTTATGTAATCCTCAAAACAACCTGATACATTTCTGCAGCTCAGAATACTGGGGCTCAGAGAGGTTGAGTCATTTGCCCAAAGTCACACAGCTGGAACCTGGCAGGGCAACCAAGAAGCTATGATTTCTGGCTCAGTCCAGGCTCCTTTGCACAACTGCTTCCTTGCTTGGGGCCTTGCATCCTCTCCCACAGGCTTTGGTCCTTGTGCCAGATGGCTCCACTCTGGGAGTCTGACTATTGCCAGATGCTCCTGGCTGACATGACCAAGAAGAAGCCAGCAGGTTCATAATCCAACCATCCCACCTGCCAACTGGGAACTGGCCTTGCAATCATTCTGAAAGCCACTCCCTGACATTATGTTTTATTGTGATTCTTGTTTACTTCAGGGAAAGCACATGAGGTGTGGTTCTGGCAAAGA